CATACTTGGAAACTTTCCAAAACAAGGAGGAATCCTTCCTGTCATATTGTTATCCGCAAGATCCAAAATTTGCAATTGAGAGAAAGAGCATAGTTCCAAAGGAATATAACCAAAAGCCAAATTTTTTTGCAGTCAAAGAACCTTTAAAGAGTGGCTACCAATCTCACCCCTCACAATGCTTGTTAAATTTTCAGAAAATTTACTTTCACCCAAATCCAAAACCACCAAAGAAGTGAAGTTTTTCAAGGCCACAAGTAGTTCCTTATGGAGACTATTGTTATTCAAGTGCAGTACAAATAAAGAAAAAAAGCCGCCCCATTTTGCTTGGAAATAAACCTGAGAGATTGTTAGAAGGTAGATCAATATAATTGAATGATTGATCATTTATCCAACAATTAGAAATACTTCCAAATAACATATTGTTTGAGAGATCAAGTTCCGCCAAATATTTTAAATTGCATAGTGACATTGGGATTGAACCGTACATGAGGTTATTTGAAAGATATAATCCCTACAACATTGGCAACATATGACTGATGTTTTTTGGAAGGGGACCTGAGATGCTAGCATTAGAGAGATCAATGATGATGTTTGTCTTTTGCAATTAAAGTCATTCAGGAAATCTTGTTCCAAATTGATTGCTAGAAAGATCTATGATCTCTAACTTTGAAAGTTGCTCGATACTATTTGGAATACTACCACTTAATTGATTGTTAGAAAAATCTATCATCTCTAACTTAGAAACTTGCCAGATCTTATTTGGAATGCTGCCACTCAATTGATTACTAGAAAGATCTATCATCTCTAACTTAGAAAGTTGTCCGATGTTGTTTGGAATACTGCCACTCAATTGATTGCCATAAAGATCTATGCCATTTAACTTAGAAAGTTGTCCAATGCTATCTGGAATTCTGCCACTTAATTGATTGTGAGAAAGAGATATTCTCTCTAATTCAGAAAGTTGCCTGATGCTATCTAGAATATTGCTAGTCAATTGATTACCAGAAAGATATATGCGCTCTAACTTAGAAAGTTGCCCGATGCTATCTGGAATACTACCATTCAATTGATTGCCAGAAAGATCTATACTCTCTAACTTAGAAAGTTGCTCAATGCAATATGGACTACTGCCATTCAATTGATTGTCAGAAAGATCTATGATCTCTAACTTAGAAAGTTGCCTAATGCTATTTGGAATACTGCCACTCAACTAATTGTAATTTAGATAAAGAAACATCAAGGAAGTCATGTTTCAGAGAAATATAGGTACTGGACCTTGGAAAAAGTTCTGTGAAAGATCTAAGTACTGAATATTGCCCAGCAATGTAAAATTAAGGGCATGGTTTTTGAGACTACAACTTGACAGACTTAACCATGATAGTGAAGGAAGCATGCCAAGTCCTTGAAACAAGTTTGCCTATGCAAGGCGTAGATTTACTCCACTCATATCAAGACATATTAATGAAGTCATGTTTTGGAGAAAAATAGGTATTGGACCATGAAAAGAGTTCCATGAAATATTAAAGTGTTGAATATTTTCAAGAAATGTAAAATTAAGAGGATGGCTACAAGATTGTAGGTGAGAATTTTTCAAACTACAGTCTGACAAACTTAACCATGATAGTGAAGGAAGCATACCAAGTACTTGAAACAAGTTTGATGATGCAAGGCTTAGATTTACTCCATTCATATCAAGAAATGTCAATGAAGTCATGTTTTGGAGAAAAATAGGTATTGGACCATGAAAAGAGTTCCATGAAATATTGAAGTGTTGAATATTTTCAAGAAATGTAAAATTAAGGGGATGGCTGCAAGATGGTAGGTGAGAATTTTTCAAACCACAATCTGACAAACTTAACCATGATAGTGAAGGAAGCATGCCAAGTACTTGAAACAAGTTTGATGATGCAAGGCTTAGATTTACTCCACTCATATCAAGAAATGTCAATGAAGTCATGTTTTGAAGAAAAATAGGTATTGGACCATGAAAAGAGTTCCATGAAATATCGAAGTGCTGAATATTTTCAAGAAATGTAAAATTAAGGGGATGGCTGCGAGATGGTAGGTGAGAATTTTTCAAACTACAATCTAATAAACTCAACCATGATAATGAAGAAAGCATGCCAAGTACCTGGAACAAGTTTGATGAGGCATGACTTAGTTTTACTCCACTCATATCAAGTTGTTGCAAAGAAGAGAGATGAGGCATGACTTAGTTTTACTCCACTCATATCAAGTTGTTGCAAAAGAAGAGAGATCAGAAATACACCAAATGTCATCATCAACCTTCAACTCTTCACCATAATAGTCAGCAAGATCAAGAACGTGAAGCCTCGTAAGATTTCCAAGTTCACCAGGAATTCTTTCTTTGAAGTTCATAAAAGAGAGATTTAGGTACCTTAGCTGCTTCATCAAACCAAAGGAGGGCGGAATAAGGCTATTATTGACGTCATTTCCGCTCAAATCCAGGTGTTCCAAGTATCTCAACTTGAGCATACTTGAAACAACCTCCTCTACATCATCAATCAAGTACAATTAAAGTTGATCAAATATAGATCCCCTAAGTTGAAGCGAGACAACATGTCCGCTATTTTTGCCACAACCTACTCCTTTCCATTCACAACAGTCGTTGCCTTTCCAAGAAGACAACATATCAGATAAATCATTGAAACAAAGTTTGAACTTCAAGAGGGCTACTCTCTCCTCATCTACACAGCTGAAGCTCTGGTTCTGACCAGAACAGAACTCTGCAGCTCCAAAGATTACAGCCACTAGAACAAGCATAGCATGGAAAGTTTCCGTCATGGTTATGGTTTCAATATTGTATGAAGATGGATGTGGTTTTTAATTCTGGTTGCACATTAATATATAGTCCCATGGATAGGCAAGTTAAACACGTTTTCCAGAAGTCACACTAAAGATAAAGATTCCGAGTAAGTAACTAAAGCAGCCAATTTTTACATTTTTGATCATTATCGCTCGAGCGCGTTGGCCAAGACTTAGATGTCTTTTTGGTCCTTAAAGTCAATTTAATTAGTGCTTTCCTTGTCCTTTTGGCCCACCATAATAGCAATGCTGTTTTTACAGGACTTGCGCTTCTGTTGTGCAACGTGAAGACGGGAAAGGTATGAAAAATGGCTTTCAATTCCTGGAGATATCTGTGGTTCGTGAAAATTCCTTCTCTTTTTACCAATCAAGGAAATATTGTATGGAAGATTAGTTGATTTTAATTATTTTTTTGGATAGCTGAAGATTATTTTTATTTTTATTTCTTTTGGAGATATATGATTTTTAATTTTGGCTGCACATTAATGTCATAATGCAAATATTAAGCCCCAAACTTAGCCTATTTTTGGACGCAAGTCCCTAAACTATTTTTCAGACTTATAAGCCCTTGAACTACAGTATTTAAACGTTGAGGGTAATCCTTCATTAACGGTTCCGATGGTTTCGGTAAAAAATATATTCACGGCAGTCAAGAAAATGGTTAAATTGTAGATTAGTCCATATACTTTCAAATGTCATTGAAAATTAATTCTTTCACTTTTAACTATATATTTTTTTCTACTAAGCTCTCCATATTCCGAAACCATATTAAATCTTGACTAATTCAAAATCAAACCGTATCATACCTCATAAAGTGGAAGTTTTTTTAATACATATTTCTCCATTCATGAGATTCGAACTTAAAACCTTACTTGAAAATAATCAAATTTTTTCCATTTAAATCAACAGGTCATTAGTACTTAAAACTATATTTAGTTTAGAAAACATTGAAACAAGGAGGTCAAAACCCCATTTTGGTCCCTGAACTATTATATGGACCCCCAATTTTGTCGCTAAACTTAAAAAATCTTTGATTTGGTCTCTACTGTTTACCATTTTTACCCCGATTTGATCCTTTTGTTAAAAATCTAGTGACGTAGCCTGTTACTTCATGGCTACAAGATGACATGTGGAAGACAATATGACAAAAAAGTGATGAGATGGAAAAAATAATAAAAAAATATATTATTATGAAAAATAAAACTTTTTTTTTTCTTTTTCCTTCTCTTTCCCTTTCTCTTTCCCCTTCCCCTTCCCCTTCTCTTTCCCCTTGGAACCCAACACGCCTAGGTTCGATGGAACCTGGGCACGGGTTCCTTTGCACCTAGGCATTGGGTTCGGTGGAACCCAGCATGCCTAGTTTCCAAGGAACCCAGGGGCAAAAAAAAAAAAAATTCTTTTTTTTTTTGGGTTTTGTTGTTTGATGATTGATGACGATGAAGAATTGATTGATGAAGAAGGCAAGGCAAGGAAGAGGAAGGAGAAAGAAAGGGTGCTGCTGGGCTCTTTTGAACCCAGCATGCCTAGGTTCGCAAGAATCCAAGGGCAAAAAATTAATTTTTTTTTTTTTTTGGGTTTTGTTGTTTGATGATGATGATGATGAAGAACCCAACAAGGGTAGAAATTGGTTGACATGTTAGGGTTTGTAGAAGTTGAAGAAAGGGAAGAGGAAAGAGAGGAACAAAAAAAAAAAAACTTTTTTTTTGGGTGGGATGAGTTGGAATGGCCATCATCTAATTTTGCCAACTTGATAATTTTTGTGTGACACGTAATGTTTCTTCTATTTTCGTCCATCCATTAACATGAAAAATTAACGGAATAACCAAATCGGTGTAAAAATGGTAAATAGTAGAGACTAAATCAAGGATTTTTAAGTTTAGGAATCAAATCGGTGGTTCGTACAATAGTTCAGAGACTAAAATAGGGATTTAACCAAACAAGAAATAAAAAGATAAAAAAAATCCTATGACAGAAAAATATACTAATTCTCAACGTGGTTTCCATGTCTCAAGTGTCAATAAATCTGTTCAACATTATATTTCCAACACATCCCAAAATCAGCTTTTATAGAAAAAATGGCTCAAGGCGAAGTAAAGTTTTGTTATCAACTTGTTCTTTTTGGAAAAGTTTATAGATCACAGTATATAAATTAATAACAGCTCTTGAAATGTAGCCAATGGAATTACTTTTCCCTAATCAAAATATTAACAAATTGTAAAATAAATGGAATTTGAGATTTAATTATTAAATAAATGAGCAAAACAATTGAAAGTTATAATTGAGTTTCATAAGCACATTGTCTATATATATATACACATACACACCGCGGCAAGGAACTAAGCTCAACTAACTTTTTTTAATTATGAAATCTTAAAAACTTGAATTGATTTAAAGTAGAACTAAAAATTTATTTTTATCTAATTTGTAAATAGATTTCATTTTAACTTTACAAGTTCTTCCTCTCAAGATTGGATAAATACCGAATCTGACATCCTCAGTCCCTAGTATTGGAGAAGACAACAATATTAAAAATATATATCTTGATCTTTTTGCATTTTTAATTGCATGTAAACAGAGAATAATTAAAATTTTTATTTTAATATTATATCATCATAATTAATATTATTTTATATAAATTTATAGTTTTATATATTTAATTTTTAAATAAAATATTTAATAAAATATTTTTCCTTTAATACGTAAAGTTTTCTTAAAATTTATACAAAATTATTTTATTTAATATACAATTTTTTATATTCAAGTAAAACAAATTTAAATTAAAATTTTGAAAAAAAGAAAAACAGAAATGTTGGATCCAACGACGACAAAAAACCATTAGATCGAAACTTTGGCTGCAGCGGCGGACATTACTACAGCCCTTTTATTTTTTTTTAAAGGCAATTTTTAATTTTAAAAAATAAAATAAAATATATTCTGTGTAGAGAATAAATTTTTTTTACAACATAATTTCGGTCAATTAGTATTCTATTTTTATTTTATTTTAAAAAATAACACTAAATAAAATATGTGTTGTACATGCTCTTAATTTTTTATTTTAACTTTGGGATGAGTTAGGGAGAAATTTGAAGTATGATGTTGAATTGATTTCTCAAAAGACAAAAACAATGATGGGTTTTTCGAATGTGTGTTGATAGGATTGATACTTTGTTTTTTTTAATTTTTGTTTTAAATTTTTTAGTAATGTAAAAGTAATTATGAATTATATTATATGTGAATGTAGATGTTCTTAAAATAAATGAGATAATCATGAGTTAGATTATATGCCAATATATCCATTCTTAAAATAAATGTACTTTGTGGATTCCATAATTCATGTGGATCACTCCTCCGTTACGTTTCATAGTCAATGAAGTGCACTAAATTATTTTTAACACTTTTTTTCTTTTAATTTGACACCAATTTTAAAAAATTAACATGCTGTAACAGCCCTCCAACCTTTATAGGATGAGTGAGTGGCGGTGAGTACTCCCTCCACCGAGCCACCGACCTTAGGAGCCTGATTCTTACCGTCTTCACGCGGGTCAGTCCGTGAAAAAAGGTTAGGTGGGAGTGGGATTGTGGTTGTGGTTGTGGACTTGGACAAAAACTTAATTTGAGCTCCTCACCTTATCAAATTTAAAGGTTTTAACCCCTTATATTATATTATGACAATTTTAACCTCTCATCTTACTAGATTTATAGGTTTTAACCCCTCACTTATGAAAATCAAAGAAAATAACCCTCATTTTATACTGACTATTAATTCTGTTAGCTAAAAGTAGATTTTTATCAACTAACAGTCAATTAATGGCCAATTAACAAAATTAATGAAATATTATAAAATTAGTTCTGTTAACTCTGTTAGCTAAAAATTAGCTGAAAGAAGATTTTTGACAGCTAACAGTTAATTAACAGTCAGTTAATAGAGTTAACAGTCAGCTAATAGAGTTAACAGTCAACTAATAGAGTTAATAAAATATTACAACGTGAGGGCTATTTTTTTCAATTTTAATAAGTGAGGGGTTAAAAGTGTCATACTATAAGGCAATGGGTTAAAACCTATAAATCTAATAAGGTGATAGGCTAAAAATGTCATAATATAAGATAAAGAATTAAAACCTTCAAATTTGACAAGGTGAGGGACTAAAAGTAGGATTTTGCGTTGGACTTGTGGTTGTGGGCGTCCGATTTTTTTTGTCTTCAGTGCCTTCTAAACTTTTCCAAAACCAAACAGCCCAGATCTTTACCCTTTGCAGTTGTGGTAATGGCTTTCATAAATTCTATTTTTTCTAACCTAAAAAAATTATGATTAAATCGAAGTGCTAATTAATATAATTGGTACTAGTAACTTTTTTTTATTTAATGTTGTATTAAACACTACAATGCAATTTTATAGCAATAAAAAAAATATCTACAAAGCGATCTAATTTTCCAGTGAAAGGAGGCAAAAGGAACTATGGAGAAAGAGAGTTACAAACGTCAGGTCTCACATTGTTGATTAGCAGCCAACGTTATTTTGGTAATGTTGGAATTCTTTGCCAACAACCTAATTAGGTTAATGATAACTTTTCTTTTCTTTTTCTTTTTTTTTTTAAGTAAGAGCATATGAGTTTAAGTTGTATTATATATGAGTAGAGTAGGTTAAAAAATAAAAAA